CAGACGGCTTCCCGCGCCCCCCCTCGGGGGCGCGCCCCACAGTTTGGGAACCTCTGATTTATACTAATAATGTTTGGCTGTTGAACTGGACCGCTCAAGGTCTCTATATCAAGCTAATTTTCCATTAGAAGCTCCACAAATATTTAAACATTACATTACCAAGAGAAATTAAAACATACCTTTATCTCATTTTTTTTCTGTTCTTATTCTTTCTTTGCTATGTATTCCTCTGAAGAATAAGTCCTTTCTTGAGACATTGTTTAGCTAACTTATCTTGCACCGATGTTTTGGAGATTTGGAAGCGTGACAAGCGCGGCCACAACTTGGGGTCCACAAAGACTGGTCATGATGGCATAGTTACTTTGCAGTGGCGATTCTAGTCCTGTTTTAGGGGTGCCTTAGCTCTCGCTGTATAACTGTAACTCAGCACCCCATAGGGTTGCCACCCATTCCGTAAAATACGGAGTTGTTCCATATTTGGTCGTTAAATGTGCGTCCCATATTGAACCGATACATAACTGTCCGATAGACACGCCTATCATACACACATCAAGCGAAGTTCAACAATAATGGCCAAAATAAAACACAGGAAATATTAAGGTCAGCTAAATTGTCCTGGCGGGAGCGTATTCACGTCTATGGTCCCGTCTCTTCCTATTCTTCAATAGCTTCCATTTGCCCCATTGACTGAAAATCAGTGTGAAATTGAAAATAATTGTTGAAAATAAAATAAAATAATGACCTAAAATGGAATAAAAATTAGTGTACCTCATCGATCCAGTCCAGTAGAATAATTTCACACTGAATTTGACTCAATAGGTCACATGACCTAGAAGCTATTGAAAGATACTAAATTTTGACTTAAAAAAGCTAAAAATATATATAAAAATGGTTAAATGAGGATGAGTGTACCTCATCTATACAGTCTAGTAGAACAATTTTACACAGATTTTTAGTTAATTTGGCAGAAACCATTATTTTAAAATTATTTAAAATATTGAATATGACTTAAAATGTTAATAGTGTGTCTCATGTAATTAGCATAAATTACCACTTTTTAGTGTCAGTTGGCCGCAAGGCATTTATCTACAGTACATTTGTTTGACAGGACAAGAGCGTATGGTTCGGAAATTGGCGGTCCCTAAGTTAGCGTTTCTCAACGGGGGCGGTACCCCCCCACCCCCTCCCTCCCTTTCCGGGGGGAGTTCAGAGGATGGCAGGAGGCGCTGGCAGAAATACTTACAAAAGTGGGTGCTGCGATTCCTTTGGGGTCCTTTGCAAGGTAAACTTTACACCTTATGCACAACAATAGAGCTTTAGAACCAACGTCACTGTGTATGACGTTTACTGTCGCGCAGTCGCTCGGCGCCATCTTTAAAACCCACAGACCAAAACAAATTTTATTCCGGTGTGTGTATTGTGTTACCGACCTCAGTGAAGTCGTTTTCAAGTTCGGTATTGGATAATCGCGCTCCGCGGAGCAAGCAGCGTTTAGCTCAAGGTTGATCCGACTTATGAACGCTAATTTCGACCAGCTGTTCTCTACCGCTCCCTCCTCAAGCGCGCTTGAAGGTTCACTTTTAGAATAAGGTTTCCGACAAAATAACTTAACCGAATAACCAAACATGGCGCTCCCGTGGCTTACTTGCCATCTCTGCGACCAACTACAAGGCGCCAAACTAGGCCTCGACAAACACTGACACGATTTCAATCGGATCCACAAAAGTTTCAGGCCAAAGGCTGGGCGTCCACTCAGATTCCGCGTTTTGGGATTTCAGAAAATATAATTTTTAATCTTAAACGCTCATGTTGGAGCTGCGTCATATTTTTATCCAGAATGGCGCATGCGCATCATGCTTATTAATAGCAACAATGGCGCCATTAGCCACTGTTGCCAAATTTGAAACTTTCCAGTCCAAACACGTTCCAGTCCAAACCTGTACAATCTGCCCAACTGCAAAGAAACAGTATCTAAACCTCTAATAAAACTCATGTTAATAGCACTATATATTTTATTCATATCCCAAATATATTTTTTAGAATAATTTAGAGAAACAGCAAAATTATATATTTATTTCTTTATAATGTAGGACTGACGATTTTGAGTTTTCAAATTTCAAAAGGTAAATTTTTCTAAGAACTAATAGTTTTAGAAAAATTTAGAGAAATAGATATAGTTTTCAACCCTAAAAGTATATGAGGGATAAATTTGTTTTTATATTTTCAGACCTTAATACCAAACTGCTTATGGCGAGTGAGAGACTCTTATGGAGAGTGAAGAGTGCCAATCACAATAAATAACTTATGTAATAATTATTTAAGTTACCATTAATTTATTAAAACTCTTCACTGTCCATAGATCTGTGTCTTCTGATCCATCTTTAAATAATATAAGTCTATTCACAAATTGCTTATTTAAAAATGTACAATAAAGTTTTGTAAAACAAAAACAAACATTTTTCTTTATTTTTTATTTTTTTTGCAAATATAAGTCAATAGATCTTAAATGTTCAGCTTGGATTAAATTTAAATGCAAATCATGAACTTCTTGTAGTGAGGGTTAGTCTGTCGGTCCATTGAACAATACAGAATATAAGCAAGCAAAGAGCTTTTTTATTTATTTTATACTATCATAAGTCACAAATAGTGTTAAAATGTATATTTTCTGTGTGTAACTAATGTCACATATTTTCTACATTATATCTTAAAATAATAACTATGGTTGGGTTTAATTCTCTTTCATGCTCAATTTAAGTTTAAGTTTAGTTTAAGACAGTTCAGGACACCCCCTTGTGGATTTAAATAATCCCTTCACTCCTTTCAGAGGAGTTGGTGTGTTTTTCAGAGAAGAAAACATTTAAAACCCATTACATTAGAGCAGTAAACTGTCATGTAACAGAAGCATGTTTTCTGATTGCTGGTTCAATACAAACACAAGTTTCAGACAAAATGGTAAGATTTCTGAATTAAAAGCTCCCGTTCCATCCATTTTCCGCAGGTAAATCTGTAAATGTATCCATCAAAAGCCAAATAACAAACTCACATCCATCTTCTACTCTGTTCTACTATTACTTGTGAACAGGACAGCAGCATACCGTACTCAAACTTCTCTGCTTAAGGAAAAGAGTGACCCCAAACCTGAAGGGAGGAATACAGCTGTAAATCACCCCCTCTCTAACATAATGGAGGCCTTTGAGCAGCCTTTCTGACCCTGAGGGTTGTGTGTTTGGGCCTTCAGCCCATGGTACAGTCCTGCATTGCAAATTGACCTCAGGAAAGAGGTAGGAGTAAGAATGATTCAAAGATCTTTTCAATGGAAGATTGTGGAAAGTGCATTTGTCGGGACATAGGTTGCCACCAATCACCTTGTGAATTAACATGCATGTTTTTGGATTTTAACAAAAAAGCCGGAATACCCAGAGAGATCATACATTTGCAAAGGAAGAAAACATGTAAACTGAACACAGACATTTCTAACGTCTGTCTTTGCTACAAGGCTAATAATAGCTCCACCAACCAGCTCCTCGTGGAAGATATTGGAGAGAAATTTGTTGACTAATCCTGCAAACCTCTAAAGTCATATAACATCTCTACTTTTAGACATACTTTTGTTTTAACAAGAAGTGGTTCCCTAACTGCTTTATACCCCATTATAGCTTCTTTTTTTGAGAATGTGACAGTCTTAAGCTAAATATAATTAATCTGCTCAAAACAAAATACTCCAGTTTCTAAAATGATTTTAACATAGTTCTACTAGGTTCTGGTTTCAGATTTAAAGAATGAGGGAAAACATATTTATTCCTTTTACATGAAAAACACCATTATTACAATTATTATGAATACAATTTATTGCATTATAAGTAACTATCTTGTGCTGATAGCTATGCTAAACTGCAAAAGTTTGTTGAATTAATATAAAGTCAAACTTTTTAGAGAAAATATCTTATCAGATATTAAAATTAAACTAAAACTTTTAAATTTTGTACAGAAACATAATTTAAAGATAAATGGGATGTAAACTTTAATTTAAAAAGAGCATAATTTAACAATAGAAAGGCAATGAAAACATAGTTTCAGTTTTAAATAAGCTACACGTTAAAAAGAAAATGAACATGTCACATGTCTTTGCATAAGCAAATACCACAGCAATGTTCTTTTTAAAATAGATGAATATACATTCATTGTTGGCTAAAAACCTACACAAATAGAATAGGAAGACCAATTTAATGTGATGTTTTCTTTTTTTTTTCTTTTTTTTTCTGTATTATCTTAGTTTTCAGGCTGATCATCAATAGCAGTGGATGCAAATGATGCGTTGACATCAGTAGCAGCTGTAGCAAGAGATGCTGACGTCCCAGTAGAGGAGCCGTCTTTGGGTTTGGGCCTGGGCTTCATCAGCTCCTCTTTGTTGCGCTCAGGTTTGACGAGAAGGATGTAGCATTTGGGGAGGAAGATGCAGGTGAGCAGGCCAAAGCTGGAGGCGAGAATGGCAAAAATCTGGACAGCAACCATGAACTTTCCTCGCGTGCTGAGGTAAGCCGGGACAAAGGAGATCCAGACAATGAAGAAGACCAGCATGCCAAAGGTCATAGACTTGGCTTCACTAGAAGATAAATAAAAAAAAAATCATACAAACCAACATGAAGTTTAAAAAAACAAAAAACAAAAAAAAACACCCAGAGGCTCAACCTCCTTCAAATGTTTTCTTATATTGTTTTGTAACAATCACAAACTATAATGTACTTTATTGGAATTTTATATAATTAATCCACACAACTCCTACGGAGGTTTTAAACATTTTTACAAATAAAAAACATATAAATGTGACATGCTGAACCAGCCTTTGCTGCAATTACAGCTGTTGGTCTTTTGGCGGATGTTTCCACCAACCTTCCACATTAAATGGCTGACATTTTGTTAATACAAAGAACCTAATGTGACATACCTGAAGTGGTCTTCCAGTTTGCGGGCTGTGAAGGCAAAGATGAAAGCCAGCAGAGCCAGCAGGATGTCATACGCAAAGATGCAACAGATGAAGACCACAGAGCCTTCATCGCACTCCAGAATAATCTTTACATTCTGGGCAGCGGTGTTCTTAACCGGGTGTGGAGGGAGGATGATGAGCCAAACAGTGCACGCTACAGCCTAGATAGCGATCAGAGATCAGTTTTACTTTATTTATTTTTTTATGGTTTTTACACCTGTTGTGATCTCAAGTGGCTAGTTTTCTGCTTTCATTTCACATTTCTCACCTGTATCAATGTTGCTACGGCAGCTATTGCCCTCTGATGCCCGAAGGTAAGAATGTCAACTTCAGGCTTATCCAAAGCAGCAGTATCGTTGATGTTTGAGCTGTTTACTATCACATCAGGACTGCCGCTGTTAGCCGCTGCTTCGGCTGCAGCCTTGGCAGCTTTGGCAGCTGCCTTGGCTTTGGCTCTGGCCTTTTTTAGAGCCCGAGCTCTGAGCATCAGCACAGCTGCCTTACCTGGGGTAAAGAAAATCAGACAAGCTACCAGGGTATCCCAAGATGAGAAGATAAGTTTTGATTTCTAATGTTAACTAACCCATTATGCAGGAAAGGCACAGCGCAAAGCCAAGAGCTAATGCTACTTGGCTAGTCATGCAGCTCCAGTTTTGTGGCTCGCCAAGGAAGACGATAGAGCAGAGGAAGGTTACAACAAGCGACAAGAGCAGCAAGAAACTCAGCAGGGCATCATTGGCTTTGACCAGAGGGGTTCCAATGTGCATAACAAGCACCACCTGGAAAAAGCAGAAAGAAAACACCTCATATTTTAGCTGTTTTAATAGTTTTCAGCAGTTACACACATTGGATAAAAAGACAACTTTTCATTTTCCTTCAGTTATTATAACTTTATAACTGTTTTGCTAAATGACAGAATGATGGGAGGGAAAATCTTGGAAAGATTTGATTATTTTCTGCAAATTCAGAACTGCATATATACTAAGATTACTAGAGCAATTTTAGAAAGCCCTGGCGATAATATCATGCCTTTATGAGCTTCTGATAGGTTGATTCATAGCATTTAATTTAACGGGAGGCTAACCTGCAGGTGTATTTTAAGAATAAAGAGCATGGGAAAGTTCAACCATTTTACAGTTCATGAAGGAGATGAGTTCTGTCTTAGAAAGATAAATGTGTTTTGGTGCAGATGAGTGCATTTATCCCAAAACAAAAGCAAAATATATGGTGAAGATGCTGGCTGAAGCTGGTCGGAGAATGTCTTTATCCACAGTAAAATGAAGGAATCAATAAGCAAAAGAAGCATTAAAAAGCTAGATTACATTTTGTAAATTCACAGAGGGACAAAAACCCTATTTTTTGGTGACGTGTGCTGTGGTCTGATGAAACTAAAATCTAAGTGTTTGGCTATAATAGCAATTGTTAAATTTTGAGGGAAACACAGGAAGCTTAAAAGCCTCAGAATACCATGATACCTTTGGGCACCAAAGGGTATTCTGATGGACAGGGATTCCTGGCATTCAGCTAAATAAGTTACAAATTGATTTCAGTCTCATAGAGACTTTGTGGACAGAGGGGAAAAGGTGTGTAAAAGGCAGCTTACACACCAGTTCTGCCAGGAGGAATTGGCCAAGATTTTAGCAAACTATTGTCAATAATTAGTGTATAGAAAACCCAAAACAATCTACCAAGTACTAGGAAATGTAGGAAAACTTCAGAATTTGAAGAAAGCATGGAAATATTCCCTAAAATATTATCTCTCTCATTATTATTGTCAGCCAACAATAATCCTAACCTGTCTAAAATAGGAAAAGTTTTAGTCTGATTTAGTGTCAGACGATAAGGATAAACAAGTGCTTTTAACCTCTTCATAACAAGCCCTTTCTCTAACAGTGTATGGAAATATGTATTTTTTTAACTACAGATATGTTTTGTTGTTGCATGAATCTCACCCCAACAGCTATGGTTACTAAAGCACCAAAGGCAGAGATCACTATCAGGGTGATTCCCAGCGGTTCTCCAAAGGCCAGGAACTCAATGATTTTGGGCACACAAGCATCATGAGCATCATTAGACCAGTCATCTCCAGTACACAGGATGCATTCACGGGCATCTGTCATCGAGGGAGAACAGGACACTTATTAAGTAGCAGGTATGAGAGTGGCGGGGAAATATGCGTAGTTACATTGGGCTCATTAGAAAAAACTAATTTGCCCAGCCAAATGAAAGTGAAAAACTGCGTTCTCCTATACAGGTGCATACACTCTTATCTTGTGTTTCTACTGTTTTTGTCTATGGTAACAAGAACCACAAACAATATTTTACCAAAAAAATAAATTAAAAAAATGGAGATAAAAAAATGGAAGGGAACACTTTATTTGAAGGGGGTTGAATAAGACTGTCATGACACTTTCATAAACATGACATAACGCCTGTCATGAACATCAGTAAGTCTCCATGAATATTTATGACTGTTGTCATAAAGCGTCATTCGGTAAATTATGACACTTTTAATACAAAGTTGACATTATTCAAAACGTCTTTGTTATGACAACTTGACATTAACCAAGAAATCATTACTGATATAAATTTGTTATAAAAGTATTACTGATTGCACTTTAAAAATTAGGTAACTTTATGTTATTAAAGGTAAAGTTTAAACAGTAATGATTTATTGGTTAACGTCAAGTTGTCATAACAAAGACATTTTGAATAATGTCAACTCTTTATTAAAAGTGTCATAATTTACCGAATGACACTTTATGATAACAGTCATAAATATTCATGAAGGCTTATTCATGTTCAAGACAGGTGTTATGAAAGTGTCATGTCAGTCTTATTCAACCCCCTTCAAATAAAGTGTTACCAAATGGAAAAATAATTCAGAAATATTCAGCTTAATAGATATCTTGTGGGGCACCTAAAACGATTTTATAAAACTTCATAAGGAAGGTATAAAGGCTTTGTAAAGGGTCACAAAAAATAAAGTAACTGTAATAAGACATACATATTATGGGTAATCTACAATTACTGGGTCTTAACATGCACTGAAACCACTTTCAAATGGATGCAGCTAACATGAAACTACTTAAATGGCCTTCCCTTACCCCTGACTCCGACCCATCAAAATATGGACTTCATTAAAAACTAAGTTTTTGCGAGGACACCAGTTTGAATAAATTACCAAGTCTATCTCGAAGGGCATATCATGCCAGAAACATGTCAATAGCCAATTGATTTTTAACCAAACATCAGTTGGGGTATGTGTATGTATTTCAACGAGAGTGTATCTCTTTTAGATATTTGAAATGGTAAAGCAAATCGGAAAGCTGCACACTGACTTGTGGTGTTACTGATTTCTCCGTCGGCACAGGGGATGCAGTCAAAACAACAGACTGGCTCCCCCTGCCGGATCCCCTTCCTGGTGCCGGGCTCACAGTTCTCGCTGCACACCGACCGAGGAGGCTTAGAAATAAACAGGAGATAACTACACATACCATAACATGGCACAAACATCGCTGTTCTAATAAAATATCTGACCTCCAGTTCTTCATTGTTCCAAACAATAGACTCATTCCTTATGTGCATCTTCTCCTCTGCAGCTGCAGATCCATTGTAGTGTCCCACGGTGACATAAGATATCTCTCCATTATCACTGATTTGCCAATTAATGATGTCATAGAAGCCCTCTATATCGCCGTCTTCAAAGTAGATCTCCTCCCCAGTGTTTGGCATTTTGTAGCGCACGTTCTTCACATAATACATCAGCTACAGAAGACAAAGTCGAGGAGCTATGAGGACAATCAGCGCCACAAACTAATACCATCTGTAAAATCTGTACACGTCTACCTGCCAAGGCTCAAAATTAGTGATGTTGGCACAGCTGCCGCCAACAAAGGGGCCTTTTCCGTCTTCACAGTGCTCCAGGTTGTGCAAGGCATGGGCCACGGCATACACTGCTTTGTAAACACTGTGCAAACCACTTTCTTCTTAACAATGTCATTATCGCTCTCACCTCAAAAAAAATGTTTATGGTTAGCTGTCCCTGAAATAGCATTGCTCATAAGTTCCAAACAGTGTTTGTGCAGAAGGTTAGATAATGTGGAAATAGCAGTAAAAAGATGGCGTGAGGACATCACAAGCATCAGTGACTTCTTTAATTTGAGCTGTGGGTACTGACCTGTAAGTGATTCGTAGCTGAGAGACGTCAGAGTAGGTGTTGTTGAGCTGAGCCACAGACTCTCTGCCAGTACACAGACCATATGGTAACCCCCTCACTGATCTGGACAGTGTGCTGTTCGCCTCCTTGGCGATTCTCAGCGCTTTGGAATAGTCCAGTGTGCAATTAAAAAGCTAAAAAAAAAAAAAAAAAACATAGATAAATTCACAACATGTATGTCCTCTAAATGTCTATTTAATATGTGCCACGTTTTCCAGTTTATTGGGTCAAATTCATTTAAACCCACGGTCTCCCAGAATTCCTCCGTGAGGGCATCTGCATAGGGATCTAGATCCAGTAGGTGGCGCTGAAGACCAGGGATGTCAGCCTTTTTCACCCCAAAACCAAGGGTACCAGACAGGAGAGAGTTCACCTTGGAAAAGAAAACAGCATGCACATTCAGGTCAATTTTTGAAGTGAGGTTGTGTCTCAGTTAATATCTTGCCAGCAGTGGACTATAAGTTAAAACTGGTTAGCCAAAGGCTAAAGCTAATGGCCAATCAGAGAGGGACGAAGCCTAAAGTGGATTTCTGCCATCTTATAACAACAACTTCAATCTCATAAATATTATAGCAGTTTGGATAGATGATCATCTAAACCTGATTCAAATGGCTGAATTACCTCCTTAGCATGTCATCAAGTTTGGCAGAGATCTATTAAGAAACTCTTTAGATTGAGGTGTAGTGAGCCAGAGGAAACATCTAAAACATTCGGGATTGTTTTACGCTTCTGTTTTAAGCCATTTTATTGTTTTTAATGGGCAATCGCTAAAAGAAGTCAATAGTTATTTACACAGAAAATAAAGTTAGGAGCCCATGCACCACCAATGATCTTCCTGTGTCCTTCAACTGAATAAAAATTATTTTTGGACCGAAAGAGGAACAATCAAGAGTCCGCACAGCTAGAAACTAGTGATCAGACCCAAAATGTGTATGTAGTGATGGACTGGGACCTGATCCTTCAGAGACATATAAAGCCAATTACAAAGTCGGTCTTCAATCACCTGCAGTGCATTTCCAAAGTGAACATTCATCCACTTTTGTTTGTTACTTCACTTCACTGTACAGGTTATTTCCTGAGTTTAAATGATACTCATACAGAAGAATCATTGGTGGAGCACCGCCTCTTTATTTCCTGTGTAGAAAGTCATCAACCTGTATAACACCATGTGTTTTATATATATATATTTGTCTGCAGGGATAAACTGCTTCAATAGAACCGCGCCTTAAAAGTCCTGTACTATCCCTTTGGTCAAATTAAGCTCGAACATAATATTTGCCAACAGATAAACACCCATCAGCTGACTGGACCTACCCCAGGCTGATTGATGAGGGCAGAGGTGACCCAGGCCTCGCTGGCAATCCAGGTGCGATTTGTCACATTGTGGCGGAGAAGTTCGCTGATGAGAGGGCTAAGGTCTACATCTGATGAGAAGACCACGATGATCTTGGCTGTGGACTCAACTACAGTTTGAACAATGCTCTGGATGGCCTCTGGTGAGCTCACCTAAAGTTTACACACACAGTTGATTTCAGGACACCACGCTGATCTCACTGAAGGGTTTTGTGGGGATTTATCTGATGGTACAGTGTCTGATGTGAAGGAATACAGTCTACCTTAGGCAGAGTTTCAGAGAAGGAAATGCAGACTCCAGCTTCCTCCACCTGCTCCTTGAAGTCCTTGATGCCATATTTACCATAATCATCATCAGCAGCGATGGTGCCTACCCAGGTCCAGCCAAAGTGCAGCACCAGTTGGGCCATAGCTGTAGACTGGTGCAGGTCGTTAGGGATGGTCCTTAGGAAGGTGGGGAACTGGAACTTATTATTCAGTGCAGAACATGTTGAGCAGTAGCTGACCTAAAGAAACAAGCGGTAAGGATTTGGTATCCCTTCACCCATTTCTTTCATCTTCATTTGCTGTTCTGACAGTCATCAGTGGCCTACCTGTGGAAAATGATAAAGCCCCAGGATCCTGGCTGTAGCAATGGACAGATCAGAACCCCCAGCACCCACGAGAGTGGCAAGAGGTGGCCCGTTGCCACAGCGATAGTTGGGTACCGCTTCATCTTGTCCCGTCAAGTATGTCAGGGTTCCCTCCACGGCCTTGGAGATGGTGAAGCATGAGTCATAGATAACGTAGCCCAGGTCGGTGTTGGGGAGCAGGTCTTCCCTCTGGTTGATTTCATTGATAGCGAACAGCATCGTCTGTGTCCAGCGGAAGGTACGGAAATTAAACCTACAGAATCAAGAAAGAACGATAAGGAAGTAACAGATGTATTGAGAGGGTCGGCTTATGCTTGGGGTCCAAAAATCGCTACACGTCTGGCTCCTAAATCTGGCGCCAAATGCTATCCCAATTTTGAGCTGAGAGTATGAATCGTAAATAAATCACAATAAGCTTTTTCATTGTTTTTCAAACAAGGAGCCTTTAAACGTATATATTTAGGGTGCTGATCTGTAATGTATCAAAGCTAATGATGAAGACATATGATCTTTAGATTTTTTTTTTTATTTAACTAAAGATAGCTGTGGACTCAACTACTAAATTGATATTTAAAATCCTACATGTACATCTCTGTTAAAATATATTTGCTCCTTTAGACTTCTGGCTTTGCTTTTTTTTTTGGTCACACTTAAATGTTTCAGATGATTAAACACAATGCTTTTATAATATGCAAAAAAATGTTGTCTTATAAGTGAAATAATTTGCCAATGGAACAAGTACATTTTCCTTAAAAATAAGGAATTATTTACTTAAAACAAGCCTCTATATCTTACTGAAAAGTTACTTCTAAGTTAGTTTTGTCTTATTTCAAGTGCACTAAGATGTTTGCTCTAGAAACTAGACCAAAAATCCTTGGTTATATTTAGTCTTTTTGCAGTGTTCAGATGTGTGTATCTCACACTCCTCAGTTTTGTTGTGAATATGATTTAATATCTGGGTATTATGTGACAAATAATACTTTCTAATTGTAAGATGTATAATGAATGGAATATTTAAGGGTAGATTATGTAAAGAGAAAATTCTCCCAAATCAAATTATTTTTTGAGCCCCAATGCTACAATGGAATATAACGGCTACTTTTATTGTCCTGTTTTGTACAAATCCATATTTCAGACCAAGTAATTTCGTTGCTCGGCAGCATCGTTCCAATCAAGAGTTCACAGACTTGATTATTATTTCGTATTACACTATAAAAACTTGTTTTCATAATAGAAAGGCTGCAGTAGCTAATTGGCCCCAGGGGTCCTGATGACTGTGGGAGCAGTGACCAAGAATAAAGTCAGATTATTCGTAATTAGCATATCAAGTTAATTAACTCTGACAGATCCAGAATATTGTTAAAACTTTTAAACAGCGAAAAGGTTTAAAGTGACCCCACTCACCCAGCACAACCAGAGGAGACAGGCAGTTTGGAAGTGTTGCTGTCGCTGGAAGCAACACTCATGTGAACAGGAAACATTCCCCCGATGACGACCCTTTTCTTCTCCACATCCTTGTAGCCGCTCAAGTTGAACTTGGCCTTCAGCTTGCAAGTGGATTGAGCCCAAAGAGAGCCGTACGCGCAGAAAAAGCAAAACAATCCGAGCAAGAAGCCTCTCATTTTTGTGCGTCGTCAATGCTCAACAGTCGGGAAAGCGTTCTCTCTCCCCCTCTACAGCAGACAGAGAAGTGAGCAGCGTCTTGTGATAGGTGTCTCATCCGTCCTCTGGGGAGAAGAGCTGCAAAGGTAGCCTGACAGGCTTAACCGAGTGCAACCAAAGCACAGAGGCAGCAGATAACTGATGAGTCATTTATCTTTAGATGTTGGGACTCAAAAAGTAAAGCCTCTGTCATTTTTTTGACATCCAACCACTCAAAATCAAAGACTAGCTGCTAAGTCACACATGCTTTAAGAGATGTTCCAGTACGTTGACAACCTTTTTGATAAATATAAACTAAATGCTGAACTTTGAGGAGAATTAACAGACGCACACTTCAGAGTTCGATCATTTCTAAGAAACGACATTTCATCTCCCGGCCTTTGTCTCCTGTAAATATGCTTCATTATTCTGTGCAAACTGCCACAGGCTACAAGTTAATTGTCAGCTGCATGTGGTGACTTGTTAGTCACATGCAATGTTACATTTCACTAACTGTTCCAAGATCGGCCCTTGTCCCAAGAGTAAAGGTTGGCAGTGTGATGGACCTGTTTGCTCTTGTCTCTCGGTCTGGGGGGAGCGACACACACCTGAACCTCCAGCAGACAAAGATCCATCTGTTGAATCTGTTAAACTATTTACATCCAACAACATTATGATGTGTGATATTTTCAGCCAGAAAGTGTCTACATAAACTGAAGGACCGGTCAACTTTCTTTTGTGGCGTTTGTAGGTTTTGTGATTTATTTTAGGCAGAAATAGACAGTTTATATAAATTCAACAAAGAATATGTTGAATTTAAAATTATAAAAGAAACTTTAAAAGAAAAAATTAGCTTGAAGGAAACACAGCATTCTTCTTAATTGTACAAATCCACAACATCTTTGGCCTCTTTGACATTTCACCTTGCCGTGACAATTCAATACAGTCACTGGAAAAACCTATTGTTCCCCATGATTCAGCAGGGACAAATTCAACAGCAGTAATTTATAATAGTTGTTTTCTAATTGACTTCATTAATCTTTCATCACTGTGGCTGAATTTTACCAGCTACTTGTTTACAGGATTTCAAATCAGGTTGAAGTCTCACTTTTGACTAGAATCCTGCGATATACGGAGGATGGCTCAATTACTGTGAGCTAAATTGTGTCTGTGGCTTCACTCCCATATCATCACCCCTCCACCACCATGTCTGACAGTATGATTTTTTTTTCTTCTTTCTGCGATTTATGCTGTTTAGCTTTCTCCAAACAAGTTGTTGTGACTTGGCGCATCTGAAATTTAGTTTTATTTAAATCAAATTGCTCAAAAAGTATTTTGATTCATTAAAATACAACTTAAATCATGCTCAATTTGTCTTTGTAGAGTCTTTCCCCTACATACTTTGGTCAGTCTGACCTTGTGATTGTACTAGGCCGTTCACTCCAAGGATAATCGATTCTCCTATTTTGATGGGGTGCAACAATTCTTCAAGATCATTTCTGATGTTTTTACATTAGACACACATTCATCAAACCGCTCTAAAGTGTACATATTCAGTGACCCATAGTTCAGGAGGCAACAAGGAGATAAGTTCCTTGCCCAATTTTACTAATTACTTAAGAATATTAATGTTAAGTTCTGAATGTGAAGAAAAAAAAAATCATCTTAAATTCTTTCAACTCGTATTTAGCAAATAGAAATGTTGATAAGCCAAACAAGGAAAGTTTAATCTTATTTAATATCAGAGCAGTATCGCTGGTCATAATGTTATGCCATTTCTGGAACAAGGAGTGACAAATAGAAGTTTTAACATTGAGATCTTTATTAAAGCTCAGTTTTCCATTGTACAAATGTCATAGTTGAAACTGCATGCAGTGGCTTGGTTTGAGGCACGTTACTAAGGAAAAATGAACATCGCTGAGCAAACTTGAAGGAAATAAAAATTAAGGACAATATTGCATAACTTAATCTTATTGAGATTTAAAAAAAAAAAATCCACGTTAGGTGTTTTATGGGGACTTGTGTAACATAGAAACACGCTTACAAAGGCAAAACAGAAGGACAATCACAAACAGCAGTTAAGGTCACCAAAGAGTTGAGTTAACTGAAGGATGAGAGGCACAAAAACAGATGGAGGCATCACATCCAGGGTAAATATCGCTAACAGGAGACTACACGCTTTTTAAAAACTCAGTTAAACCTGAGCACTGTATTCACTGAGGTCTAAATGACGAGGCGGGAGACCGGAAATGACGCATCGACAGTTGTGAAAGTGACCGTGTATACAAGGCGCAATGACGTGAAATGAGGCAGGAGCTGGAGCCGACTCCCTTAAATGGACCTTCAACGCTAAAGAGGGACACAGTTAAGATAAAGTTTCTACTTGATGTTTTATGCTGATGTAGCACCGAGGCTTCATGAGTGAAAAATGTGCAAAAACGTGCCTCTGCACAACGCAGAAGCAGCCAAATCGTCAAACAACGGCAAGTGACACGATGTGGTTAAAAGCTCTTACTACTGTACTTATAGGTTTGATATTAGTCCTTTTGCCTTTATAATCTTCTTCATAAAAAAAGCACACATACTGCAGCATGAGGAGAACAGCATTCTCCTCTCTGGACAGAGTCCAAGTCATTTCATACCAGAAAAAAAAAAAAAAACAAACATGAAAATACAGAACAGGCACGTACAAAGTTACCAACGGTATTGGCCTCTTTCCCAGGAGTCATCTCTCTGAAGCCATTGCTGGGTGGAGTGCTGTCCAGGAAGGACGCAGAAACAACCCAACAGCTCCAGCCAAACAATCTGAGGAGTCCACAATATTCAACACCACCACAGCATATTCTACTTTTGGCAACAAAAAAAAAAAAAGGGCTTAAAAATTGATTGGTCATGTAGGCTGCTGATTCAGACAACCTCGGTTGTAACACAGTATGGAGGCGGAGAGGGAGAGAGAGAGAGTACAAACGGAGGATAGTCTGAAAACATTCTGTACTACAAGAAAGAAATACAAAGCAACAGCTGAAGACTTTCGCCCCCAACCCACTACTGCATTTTCGTTCATGACAACACTGTTTGCGTCTCTTATTTTTTTTTTTTTTTATCCACCCCACAATTAATCTTTAGGCACAACATCGACTCAACATCACAGCTTCTTACCGCTTGCCTTTAAAGGTTAAGCTCATAAAAGGAAGCAGCGATTTACCTTTGTATAATAGCCAGAACATGTACAGGAATTAAAAATGGACAATATATTAACCATAACCAACACTACTGGATCCCTACTTCCGCAGAAAGAAAACTAAAACAAAACAACTTAAGACTAGGTAGGCGTGGGAGTGAGGGGGAGTGCAGAGCGGAGGGGCTTCATCACAGTACGGTCTGCCTTCCACGGGAATGTCGCAGAGAAAGAGGAGGTAAAGAGGGGTTGGGGGGAGGAAGGACAGAGAGAGAGCGGCTCACCGGCCCTCCGGTGTCTGCGGAGAGTGTTTGTGCACTGTGTGTGTGTGAATGTGTGTCCTATTGATATGAAGTCATGACGAGGCTCTATTCCCACTCCGTGGTGCCGGGTGGCTTGGAAGTTAGGTCGTACATCACTCTGGAGATGCCCGGGATTTTCTTGATCTCATTTACCATCTTTAGCACCACCTGGTGGAGTGAGCAAAACCAAGTTGCATCATAAGAGTGAAAAAAAAAAAAAAAAAAAACAGAGCCATTCAAACCAAACGGTGCCTATGTGACAATGTATTGTTTGACATTGTTTGACTCACAAGTTTTGGTCAGCTGAGATGAGTCAAGTCACAGTGGAGCACTGTTACAATCTAGTCCGTACAATTAAGATATCACTAAAAGTCACACTTGTCTGACACTATTGGGCAAGTTAAAGGATCACAAAGAGCAGCAAATCATGCCTCAATTTCAAGAAATTCAAAAACAGAAACTAAACAAAAGAAAAAGACAAAAAGATATCATTCTGGATAGAGTTAAAAGTCTATTTTCTGAGTTTTTGGACTCCAGGGAACAATAATGAGACCCATTTATACATAAATTGAGAATTGAGTGCCAACTAAAACTACTCCCAAGAGCACATCAACATGTTAAAGTCCCAGGAATTCCCAGGACTAAAGTACTGATGCCTCACTTGCTTCAGCAAAGGGAGGCTTTCAGGATTTAACAATAAGAAATAAACTGGGAGTGCGTGAAGGAGAACACCAACTAACCAAAAACAACACAGTGTCCTGGCTCATGTTTCCTACAAAAACATGTTGATGACACTCAGGGCTCTCTAGAAAAACAATCTTAAGACTGGAGAGAAAAGTTGAACTTTCTGTGAGGTACTTTTCCTGCTAAGCAAAACAGGAAATGTACTTTTCGATCAAATCAAAAAGAATTAAAATCTTTGCTGTCGACTGAATAGCATCTACTCACAGCACCAATAAATCAAATGAGGCTCTAAAAGATTTATAAACATTTATTCACCAGTAAACGTAGCAGACAGACTTGTGTGGTTTTGCAGAAAGTGTTCAGCAGCGTTTTATGAAGGGGAGTGTAACATCTTCAGATGCTCATCACGATGGCACTTGTGTTGCTGAGATATTAAACTTCGCAGAACTTGGGAGTGGGGGGGACGTTTACTGTCACACAGATTGAACTAATGTCATATTACACACCACTTCATCCAGAGCACTTCATTTTCCAGAGTCAGTCAGAGCTAACCAAAGACTTTCACTTTACTCTGCTGCACTACCATTTTATTAAGGGTGACTCATGATGACAACTGCTGCCTTAATCTGCAAAATCCTGAGTTTATAGTCCCTAGTTTGAAAGTACATAATGTGGCAAACTGCGTCGCATCATCTTACCTCCTCTGGCATATGGCTACCAGGCATGGCAGCGATGCCCGTCATGAAGTCGCTGGTGATGAACGTGCGGACCACGACGGAGCGCCGACAGGAAGGCTGCTTCTGCAGGGGGTCTCGGTCAAAATGCAGGGGAGTGAGGATGATCGGCATCTGGCTGATCTTGCCTGAATAACCTGAAATAAAGACAAAGAGAATCCAGGGTAAACCAAATGTTTCTGATTAGAATCAAAAGCATCCGTCTGATAATAAAACCGGCGACAATAGATTCTGTCAAAGAGAATATTAATTAATGCTGCAGCCTGACAGGGAGGAATACAGATCTGTTTTTAATCTCCTTTGAAGATGAATGAGGGAAGCATGAGAGAAATGAGCAGTACAAATGAATAATTATTTATATTATGATGAAATAAGGAAACATAATGCTGAGCTTAGCCTTTATATCATAAAAAAAATACCTTTAATGAGAATAAATAACGATTTTCCACACATTCAACGTAACAGTATAAAGCTTTTTTTTTTTTTTTTTTTAAATACTACTGCTTAAATTTAAAAAATTTAGTTCATGGCATCCAATACATTATTCCTTTACTAAATTGAAAATATATACAGACATCTCAAAAATCTTTACTTTTAAAGAAACCAAAACTTACCAGACTCTCTAAGAATAGAATGAGCCACAAAGTCCGCCTGTCTAAGCGTGCTCAGAACACCGGTGGTCAGGAAAGTTGGGGTAATGTCTGTAGGCGGCTCCTTTACGTGGGACCCAAAAATATACACAACTCTGGAGAAACACATGAGTCACAGCGTTGAGGTTAGGCCTTTTAAAAACACTGAACTCTAAATGTTTCTGCTGACTGAAGAGAAGTTGTGATTTCTTTTTTATTTTTTTGTGTGCGTTACCTGTTGATGGTATGGCACATGCGAGGGATGAGTCTGGCCAGGAACATCAGTGATTCCCAGTGAGGAGATTCTTTACTCGTTACACCGCACACATAACTGTAAGACCGACAATCTCCCTGTAACCGAGACAAAATACCATCAAATAAATGGGAACAAAAGTCTTCAGAATTAATTCAGGATATTTGTGTAATAAGTAGACATTTAAGATGGATAAAGTCTTGTTTTCCTTTTCAGCCCAGGCGCAGAAAGCCGTCTATGTTTAGCCACGGTGTCCCGTCTGGCCCACAGATTGAGGTTTGAGTTAAATTTAAACCTCTGGTTTCTAGTCGCAGGGCAACACCTACAGCAAACTCTCTGCCACTGACTGACTTGGGGAATGTTTGTCAGAATTTAGAGCCATTCATCTCCAGCTGATACAAACACTTAAGACAAGAACTTCTTCTGAACACATTTTCCAAGAGAAAAGTAATGGGGGGGGAAAAAATGTGGTGGTTTTTGTGTGGGTGTGTCTTGTGGGTAACGTTTAATTTACCGTCCCTGCCCAGCAAAAAGCCAACCGCTGGAGACAGACACTGTGTCAGAGTAACTCCGTCTCTGAAGCGATGCTACTTCTTCCTCATAAGTGCAACAGCTGACATCTTCCAGAATAAGATAAAATATTTCTACAGCTTCTGTCTCAAGGTCCTCTAATCTGTAGATCGTTTTCAATGGTTCAAATATATTTCGAACCAATAAAACCTTAAATCACCTGCAGTCTTATTGTCTCTCAAAGCAGATTAGTAACTTAAGAGACATACGATATGCATACATTTAAGATTTTGGATAGAAAAAGAATTATAGGAGACACCCTTTGCTAAAAATAAAACAAAAACAGCAATCTTTCTGGATGATAATGTAGTGTCT